CACAGGTAGTGGCTGCGGGGAGGAAAACAACGGGCAAAACAAAAAAAGAATAATGATAATAAATCGTGGGATAAGCATGATAAACCACCGCCGGGTCGTGCAGCTCGATGGCGGGGCACGGGGCTGGCTGGGTGGGCTGCGAGAGCTGCAGGAGCCCCGGAGGGGTCAAGTTCACGCCAACACCTCCTGCCCTGGCACCTGGAGGAGAAGCCAGGAGGAGAAATCGGAGCACGGCGTTGGGTTTGGGGCTCCGATACCCCAACGGGGGCCACATCTGGGGACGGCGGGCAGGGCGGCGGGGCAAGGCTTGGGAAATAAACATCTTGGGGGGGCGTCAGGGATGGCAAAAAGGGGGTGTCAGGAAGGGGAGCCAGGCGGAGAGAGGCCTGGATGGCAGCGCTGAGGGCGGCGGGGGAAGCCGGCGGCGGCGGCAGCGCGGCCAGGAGCGGGTGTACGCGTGGCAGTGTTTATACGGCCCATCAAAACACAGCCAAGCCCAGGCAGGGGAAAAACATGGCGACGGACGGGACAGGGGGAGCAGGGCCAGGCCGGGGGGCTCGGCACGCAGCTGGGGCAGGGCTCGGGGGTGGCCGGGCCTTACCTGCTGCTGGGGGCTCGCCGCGCCAGGGGGGCCGCCCGGGGCTTCTTGCGGGAGAAGTCGCTGGCGAAGGGCAGCACGGAGGCATAGCCGTGCTCTGCTTCTGGGGACAAAGTCAGCGTTAGCAGCCTGTCTATGCATCTTCCTCCACACGTTTTTATTTTTTTTAAATCGAAACATTAAAAATAATTAATTTTTTATTATTATTTTTAATTTGTTTGGGTGTTATTCTAGCCAAGAAGCGAGGAAAAAAATAATAATAATAAAAGGCACCGAGGTGAAAAAAAAAATAACACAAAGCGAGTGCCTAAAGGAGGAGGATTTCCCTCACAAAAATAAAAATAAAGCCGGGCGGAGCACGCAATTAAAGGGGAGTGGGGGGGGGGGGGGAGGCTGAAAGCTGCGCTGCGATCGCTTCCCAGCGCCCCCCGTACCTCGGTCCCTCCGCTCCAGGTACTCGGCCGCCTCCAGGAGAATGAGCAGCGAGTTCAGCTCCATGGCTGGGTGCGCGCAGCCCCCCTCAGAGCCCCCTCAGCGCCCCTCAGAGCCGAGCCCCTCACGGCCGCCACCGCCCCCCCCCCGCCCGCTCCGCGCCGAGCCCCACACGCGGGGACTCCCCGGTTATAAGGGCACCCGCGCAACCTACTTTGACACACGGCCGACGGGCAGCCCCCTCCGCCAATCCCCGCGCCCGCTGCCGGCCGGGGGCGGGACCTGCCCCCTCCGTCGGACCAATGGGAAGGCAGGGTTGGCCGCCGAGCCCCGCCCCTCCCCGCCCTTTTCCTCTGGCTGGGGCAGGGAATGTTGACAGATCGCCGCGCGCGCCGCGATTGGCTGGCGGCTATGGTAACAATTTAGAAGCCGAAGCTTAGCAACAGCACGTGGTGGCCCGGCCCCCGCGCTCGCTGATTGGCCCGCTCCCTGCATGTTAATGAGGCGCCCGGCGCCGATTGGTGCGCCGGGCGGTATGCAAATGAGGAAGGGTGAGGGGACCAATGGGGCGTGGCGCGCGGCGGGGGAGGGGGCGGGGCGTTGCTGTGAGGAAGAGGCAAGGCAGGGAGGGGGCGGGGCCGGCGGCGGCCGCCCCTCACGCGGGGACGGCACCGCCTGACGGGGGAAAACAAGCGGGCGGGAGGAGCGGGGAATAAAGTGGGATAAAACGAAATAAAACGAAATAAAATGAAGTAACGTGAAATAAAATGACGTAAAATGAAATAAAATGACATAAAATGGCGTGAAATGAGGTGAATTTAAATAAAATGAGGTGAAATTGAATGAAAAGCTGCTGCTGACGGGAGCCGCCGCCATGGCCGCCCCGTGCCCGGCCGCCCCCCGAGGGAGGGCCGGGGGTGCGGGACGATGGCTCCCCGGAGGGCGGAAGGGGCCGGGCCGCAGCCGCCGCTCCCCGCCCAGCCCCGCTGAGGAGCCGCCAGGCCCGCCCCGGGGTCGCGCTGCGCCTGCGCGGGGCCGTGTGGTGCTGGGGGGTGTCGTGGGGGGGAGGCACAGAATCGGTGATTTTGGGAAAAAACGTCGAAAATCGTGTGGTCCAGCCGTCCCTAGCACCGGTGTCACCACCAAAGCGTGTCCCTAAGCAGCACTCCAAGCTTGCCTTGAACACCCCCAGGGACGGGGACTCTGCCACCTCCCTGGGCAGCCCGTCCCAATGCCCGGCTGCTCTTCCTGAGGAGAAATTTCTCCAAATTTGCCACCTAATTCTGCGTGATGTTGCAGACGGTCCGGGTATAACACCGAATGATGTCGGTGTATGAGCAGAATTAAGGAAAAGCCTCAGAGCGGAGAGTATGGAAATAAACGGAATGACAAAGGTGGCACAAATCGGACGGCAGAGGTCTGTGCAAAAACAAAAGTGCCCGGCACGTATATCCGTGACCCCTTAGGGCACGCAGGCAAGAGGAAAACAGCAGCACTGCAAAAACACGCAGAGTTAAAAGAATTACTAAAACCGTACACAATAGAAAACCTAACCTGCAGAAAAAGAAAAAAAAAAAAAGCGAAAAGCTCCCAGAAATGCAGTCAGAATTCCTGCCAGCTTTCCAGCCCCTGCCATGCCAGCACGTTGAGCTGCCTTTTGTCATCCGCGAACACAGAAGCCACCGACCAGAACAGTCTGACAGCCTGGCCCCTAGCGTGGGCTCTGCTGGGCAGGAAGGAGCTCAGCACCTTTCCTGTGCGCAGCATCCCTCCGCGCTGTTCACTTGGCAGCCTTATCTCTGAGAGCTGCTGCACAGTTGTTGCCCGAAAATGTTTGCTTTTCATACGAGCAAGTTTTAAAATAGATAAATTCGAAGCCGTGCCGGGCCCAAAGTGCTGGAAGGCTGCCATGGGTCCTCCTGCCGGAGAGCACTGAGGCACACCAGTGGCCCTGTGGGTTTTAACTGAGCAGTCTGAATGGGAGCTGCTCAGCTGGTTGCAGGGATGCAGAATTTTTGCTTCTGTTTTATTCCTTGGCAAAAGACATCAATTCGTCCGGCTACAGTTTCCTTTTAAGAGGAAACTAGTGACTCGGACTTAAAATAAGGATTAAGCTTTACCTTTTATTTTTCTTTCCTAGTCATGTTGCCTCAGATATGCAATCCTAAGTAGCTGGTAAATGTTGCTGATTGCATTTTACTGCCATTTGGTCCAGGCCTCCTGGATGAGACAAAACATGAGGCTGTAAGGAAAGCAGCACTGTGGTGTAATTTAAAAGAATTTTACACCTGCTTGGAAAAAAAAACGTGACTCCATGAATTACACAACAAAAGAGAATTTGGTGTATAGATTGCAGCAGTAAATAAATAAATAAATAAATAAATAAATAAAAATTGCTCCAAGATTTTCTGCTTGCTGCCTGAACCATTGAAATTGTGCTGCATGTCGATGAGACAGTAAGGTCTTCACTGCACCCATCAAAATTTATGGTAGCTTTGCTGTTGACTCATCTGGAAGTAGATTTAGAAACAATTTCATGTTGCTTTCTGCTGTGAAGTAAGATGAAAACGTATATGTACAGGTCTGTGTTGTCCACGCATGAAAGAAAGTTCCCTTTGCCTGACCACCTGCATAGGGCATGTAGTAAAGACAATGCAAAGGTACACAGATATCCTCTCTCTGCTCACTGCAGCTGCTGGGACACGTTCCCCTCCCTCCCTAAGGGTCAGAAACCCAGCACATCCGACCTCTCCTGGGATGAAAACCATCAGACTCAATAGAATTGCACTTTCTGTTTTTAAATGTGAAGTATTCAGTTTTGAAAACAGTTGTTTTAAGGTGATCCAGCACAATTTGACGTTGATGTGTTCATTTTCCAGGTCCCTTCCCTGCACTGACGGAGCGCTTTGGGAAGAAAGGGGTCACCAAAGCCAGCAGGACGATGTGCACAAGCTTGTGTCATGCAATGCTAAGGGCTGCAAAATAGGTTCCAGCCAGTCACGAAAATAGCAGATTCGTGTTTGTGGTGTCTCTCAGCCTGAGTTACAAACTACTCAAACAGTGAGGGTGTGTGTAACCACACGCAGACAGGCACAGGCACACACACAGCCCATGCAGATGAAACCCAGAGCAAATCCATGTGCACTTAGGTAAGACAGAGCATGGGTTGGCTCATACCAAACAAATGCTGTACAGCACAAGCAGACTGTACAAGTGCATACTTCTACCTGTAGCTGCATTAAAGGAGCTGTCAGTACAGCATCCAACTGTGTTAGAGAACATAAAGCAAGTGTACTTAAATTATTTCCTAGAGTGCATTCAACTGAGCTCAGAAGCCACCATTCAAACTTCTAAAACACCTGGAGTGAATCCGCCTGGGTCTGTTTTTATTTGTGCCCATGAACCTGGACTACAGGACTGGCTTCAGTGAGGTCAGCATAGAGGCACAAGTGTAAGGTGGATATGAAAGATCAGCTGAATTCCTTTCAGAACCAAAGTACAAGCTCTAAAATATACATAAGGTTTTGCAGATTTGCATCTCTAAATAGCTTTTTTTTTTTTTTTCCTTCTCTCCCATTTCTACAAGCACGCAGCAGGAACAGCTGAGTGCTAAAGTAACAGCTGGGCTGCAGTGATAAAGGGTAGCTGTCACTTCATGGTGAAGTTCTAAAAACTTCATATTTAGAAACAGAAGGGAGAGCCATCAGTAGCCACGCCCCACAACCTGCACTGTTTGTGGTCTGTGCACAGCCTGCACTTCATGATTGGAGTGAGAGTATTTACATTTATTTTCCAAAATCCATCGGTGTGACAAAACGTAAGCAGAGCTCTGGAGCTGAGAATCCATATTTGAGAAAATTCCTTCGATCACCGCTCACCGTGTATTCCCTCAAAGAAATAATTTGTCCTTGCATGCTTTCCAGATTTGGCTCACTGCAGCTACTGCATATTTCTTTCTTTCATCTTTTTCAGATCCCTACAGTACCTGATCCCAACCAGCAGGTAGTGATTGCAGCCTCTTGGCCCTGCCTGTCCTCTGGGCTGCTGCTGGTGCATGCGCGGCATTAGTCACAGGCTTTATTTATGTGTGGTTTGCTTTCAGTTCAGAGGGTTGGTGTTTTTGTTTTTGTTTTAAAGCTCAGAGTGTCTGAAGATGGACTGCTGCGAATCGGAGAGCTGCTGTCAGAGCCTCAAACGGAGGTTATGTGACATGATGGTAAGTGGGATACTGGGGGCGATGAGTTTCTGGCCTGCGATATCCCTCGAACTGTACCCAGGCATGGGCTCGGAGAGAACCTGGTCCGAGGACAAGGGGCAGCAAGGATAACGTGGGGCCCTGTGGACCTGGCTCGCCCCCAGGTATTCAGGCAGGTGGGCTCTGTACGTGATGCCCACCAGCCCAGCCTCCTGCCTGCTCTTGTTCAGTTGCCTCCTGCACTGTTTGAGGCACTGGCTTTGCAGAAGTGGTTCCACGTCTCACGTCTCTGTTTGGGATTTAGCTGGGGCTGATGGAGTGCTATGGAGCAGACGTGCCTGAAAGTCAAATCTGAAAAAAAAGCAGTACTTCAGACTGAATGCCGGTCCCTTTTAACATTCATTCCTTGTCAATTGCAGCGTTGTGAAAGACAACATTTGTGTCTTGGCGTCCTTGGGAGTTTGGCTGAAGGGACCTTGAGTGCTCCCTCCTCGAGCAGTGAGCTGCTTGGAGCAGCGAGACGCACGGTACCTTGCCTGCAGCCCCCGGGGACACTTCTGGGATGAGGCATGAAATTATTCCTAACTGATTGAAGCGAGGCATCGATTGAAAAGCTTGAGAGGCACTGATTTACGCCATCACATCGACTCTCTTTTACCTGAGCCGTGCCTGATAATTTGGGATAGCGTCTTCCTAAAAAATCTTCCCTGATGCTGCCACTCTCAAAGCATTTTATGAAAGGCAGCGGTGTCACTTCTTTCATTTTAAAAGACAAAAAAGAAACGTAGACATAGGCAAACCAACTCTGTCACTGAGCCAGGGGAGGAGCTGGGGGTAGGACTGGGTATCCCAGTTCCTAGTACAGCATGTTGGGCTCTGAAGAAAGGATTTATTACATGATTTTGGTTCTGAATCCCAGATGTGTCCTGGCTGAGGAGAGGGAGGCAACTGCAGGCTTTGTAAATTAAATCAGTTAGTGGTAATGCAGCCTCAATGGCATCTGTCCTGTGAACATAAAAAAAAAATAACATTTTCTTACCTTAGGTACATGCTTCCTGGGATCTGTGAAGTGAATCACATCTTCTGAATTTCCAGGAAGAATCTCTAACAAATCTGTATCACTGTTCAGTCTGAAAGATGGAAGAATGAGCTCATTTGTCCTGTGGAGCCCGACAGAGCTGTTAGCTGCCATTAGTTGCTAAAACATCTATTACAAGTGAGGAACCAAGAGAGGAAAAGATGGAAAGCTAGATTAAAAAATATGAGCGTGGAAACCTCTTACCTGGATGCCTGGGCATCCAAGATAACCACACCATAAGCTGGGGAAATCAGATTTTCAGATGGAAAGGAAATTAAATGGAAAGGAATTAAATGGAAAGGAAATGTGCATACATATATGGGAGAACAGCCTTTTGCTCATCAAAGGACAGATACCTGTAACATGTTTACAGGCCTGCAGTAAGTATGCAAGCAAATTGTTAAGTTTTATTCCCAGCAGGGAAAAAATAACACCTAAAACAGGTGAAGGAAATCTAGAATCGACTGCAGGATTCTGCCCCTTACTGCTGTTAGCCACGAGAGGATCCAGGTGAGTCTGGAAGAGCGTAGGTATGTCCCATACGGTTGTCCAGTGACGAAGTTGTGTGTTTCTGCAGCATGTCCAGCACTTCAGACTGCTTAGTCGAGCTTTGCCAGTTCAGGCCCTTAATAAGAGATTAGTAATTAGGTAAGTAAAATGCTTTTCAGCTGAATAAGAGGGGAATCACCATCGATCCCAAACTGCTAGTACAGTTGGGCCAGTATTACCGCCGTAGAGATAAGCGAGCTAGTGCATCAATACGTGTGTTCAAGATCAAAACAGCCCAGGTGGTAAATAACCTGGACAACTGCCTGCAGCACCTAAAATTAGCAGCATAAAAACTTGGCAGGTGAACAGTCAGCAGATGCTGTCTTATCTCTCTATTTGCTTTGGAAGTTTGAGCCTGACCCAAAACATGTTGAAATCAATTTGTATCCTCTCCTCTGTTTCGATGGGCTGTGCACCAGGCTCTAATCCGTTGTGGGCCTAATTAAATGATTTTCTTCATTGGAAGCTAATTACCCCTATGGAGGAATGAAACTGAATGCGAAATGAGCACTCTATAGGAACTGTGTCTGTAATGTATGGTTTAGAATAAAAAATTACAGGCTGGATTTTGCACTGTCTTATGTAGCCTCTTAGTCCACATCAAGCATGTACAATTTCCACTCTCTCATTGGGATAAGTACGGAAACTGAGTGAAGAGTCAGATAAAATGACTATAACAAGCTCCCCTTCTCACGACAAAAAAAAGCTAATGCAAGCAGGAAATCATCAGCTTTCAGCATCCGAGAGAGGAGGAAGCTCTGCACAGAGATTGCAGCAAGGTCGGGTCCCAGCAAAGCGCTGGGACTGTGGGGCAGTGAGGCACTGGGCTGGTCACCCGGGGAGCCTTTGGGATCTCCAGCACGCAGGGGAATTTTGGCAGTGTTTGCTGGGACAGGCACCCTTGCTGCAGCCCTGGGCAGGAGATGGAGCTCCTGGTCTCCAGAGACCTCCTGGACCACTCTTGCCTGTGGCAGGATGGAGTTTTGCACCCATGTGGGGTGAAAATGCAAAGGATAGGACAAGGGAAAATTCAGTCCCGTCACCTTGTGTTGACAGAGAGTTTGTTCTTCCCCAGCAAATGGCAAAACAGGTAATGTGGACATGGGAAATCTGTGGCAATTAATTAGATAGTGGGAAATCAATCATGCTAATGGGCTTGTAAGTGTTTGTAAGACCTTTGCTCCACAGCATCAAAACACTTCCACGACAGGGGTGGAGGGGAGAAGGCATGGCCTCTGAAAGACACAAGCTTGCTGAAAGCAATGTTGCATGCAAAAAAAAAATAAAAATAAAAATAAAAATAAAAATAAAAATAAAAATAAAAATAAAAATAAAAATAAAAATAAAAATGTCTTCAGGTGCTGTATCTGCTTGGAGACCAGAATGCAGCACACTGCAGGCCAGACTGGTTAGGACCCAGCCATATGGTACCCACACAGTGCTAAAAGTGATGTCTGCAAAATGCAAAAAAAAATACAAAAAGAAATCGTCATCCCACCATGGAGGACTTAGCTGACTTGATTTGTTTTCCTTCCAGCTTTCTGCAGGTCTGTTTCCTTGCCCGTGTTTGGCTCTGTGTCTCCGATCCCGTCTGTCCTGGTTTTGTTCTCCTTCCCCTGCTGCCGGTGGCTTCCCGCTGCTCCCATCCCTCTCTCCTCGCGTGGCACAGATCCTCTGCCTCCGCCAGGTCCAAGGTGTCGGGCTCAGGGCTGAGGACGCAGCCTCCTGCTTCGATGGCAGTGCCAGCATTGTGTGAGTGAGCGCACGTTTTACATGCAGACGGTTCCAGGGCATTGCTTCATGGCTTCTCCTTTTTCTGACTGATCAGGACACCGGCAGCTCTTCACCCCTTCTTCTTTGTTGTTGGTCTCTTGGTATCTACAGGTCCCTAAGGAGACCAAGGCAGGTCGTCTATTCTATGTACACATAGTGAGAGAGCTTTTTTTTGGTCTGAAGGCTGTACGCTCAGCACAGAAAGCAGAAAAAGGTATGAGAAAGATCTTATAATTCAACCTCCCCTGTGCAGAGGGAAGTAGAAACAGAGAAATCCCCAGGTCTGCAGCTGAACTTGGGTACTTCAAGTCTAGTTCAAGGCTTTAGCTGCAAAATTCCCTTCTTTTATTCACTGGGACCGCTGTGGTGTGGGATGGATTTTCACCTTTGCCTCCTGTTTGGATGTGGAAACTATTGGGTGACTTCAACCCCAGCACCAGCACAGGGCATTTCATCACCCGCTCCCTTACCTGGGGAAGTTCAAGTCATGCTGAGTAATTCTGTCACCTCTCTAGTTTTGAATGAAACTTCATGCCAACCGCATGAAGTTCAATAAGAGCAAGTGCCGGGTCCTGCACCTGGGACGGGGAAACCCTGGCTGCACGTACAGACTGGGCGATGAGACGCTGGAGAGCAGCCTAGAAGAGAGGGATCTGGGGGTCGTGGTAGACAACAAGTTGAATATGAGCCGGCAGTGTGCCCTGGCAGCCAGGAGGGCCAACCGTGTCCTGGGGTGCATCAAGCACGGCATCGCTAGTAGGTCGAGGGAGGTGATTGTCCCGCTCTACTCTGCGCTGGTGCGGCCTCACCTCGAGTACTGTGTGCAGTTCTGGGCACCACAGTATAAAAAGGACATGAAACTGTTGGAGAGTGTCCAGAGGAGGGCTACGAAGATGGTGAAAGGCCTGGAGGGGAAGACGTACGAGGAACGGCTGAGGGCACTGGGCCTGTTCAGCCTGGAGAAGAGGAGGCTGAGGGGAGACCTCATCGCAGTCTACAACTTCCTCGTAAGGGGGTGTCGAGAGGCAGGAGACCTTTTCTCCATTAACACCAGCGGCAGGACCCGCGGGAATGGAGTTAAGCTGAGGCAGGGGAAGTTTAGGCTGGACATCAGGAAGGGGTTCTTCACAGAGAGAGTAGTTGCACACTGGAACAGGCTCCCCAGGGAAGTGGTCACTGCACCGAGCCTAACTGAATTTAAGAAGAGATTGGACTGTGCACTTAGTCACATGGTCTGAACTTGGGTAGACCTGTGCGGTGTCAAGAGTTGGACTTGATGATCCTTAAGGGTCCCTTCCAACTCAGGATATTCTATGATTCTATGATTCTATGAAACGATGAGGATTACTTTAAAATGTTCTGTGTGTTGGCAGTTAGCCCACAGGGTGTGGAAATTAGTGGGAGTATATACCTGGGTATACAAAGATAGCTGCAAGAGGTGCACTGATGAGACTGAAAGCTTTAACTCACCATGAACATCTATCTGGCATTTGAAGGCACCCCTGATCTGCAGCTAGGAGGGATTGTAATTAAACTCCTAGCTCCTGTGAGCTCAGAAAGTCCCTGAAGGCAGTTACACTCTGACTGCTGAGCAAAAGCACTGCTCACTTCTGAAACACCCTCATAGACTGAGGATGAATGAACGAAGGCTCGTGAGAGCCCTACAAAAAGCAGCTTTTGTCAAGACCAAGGTGGCTGGGATCTTGCTGGAGGAGGCTGGGACCAGGAGGTGGTGGCAGCAGTGGGGGAATTGGTTGTGCTGGGGGGAAAAACCCCCAGGAGCTGGCAGGTTTGTGGTCCACACCGTGTCTTACTGCACAGAGGACTGTGCTGCTGTATTGCTGTCTTGACAGCAGGTAGCAAAACCCTCTCTGATGACTCACTCCTCTGTTTTACAGGCTTACCTCTGCTTCCCAAATAACGCCGCGTGCTTTACACAAGCCAGGGAGTATGCTGGCTTCATGAGGAGGAGGTAGGAAGCAATGCATTACTAATGACCTCTGCTCTCACTGTGTGTGCCTTTGACATCTCATCAATACATTAAACTACCCAAAACGTGCACATCTGGGCTCTCTGCGGAGTGTTTGTTTTGTGTATGTTATTTTTTTTTAGTGTGTTGCTTACCTGTGGAGCCTCCTATTTATTGCGTGATGGTTTTTGCCACTTAGGCACTCTGCTTAATCAGATTTGTAAATTAATTCTCTCCTGGGGTTTCTCTTTGTGTGCTCAGAAAGCATAAAAAGTGTTCATGACACGCTTCAGAACACACACTGGTTACATTAGTCATCCTCTCAGCATAATAGTTTTATGGAGAACACTTAAAATGTTGAAAAATAAAAAAAAAAATCCTTTAACCCAGTTTCTTTCCCCCACTTTTGATCCCTGCAGTTACGTTACATGTTAGTAAACAGCCACACAAAGGCTGTAATTGTGTTTTTTTTTTCACTGCAGGAAATGCCTACTGTTTCTGTCTGGAAATATCTATTATTATTATTATTTTTTTTATGATTTATTCAACTGAAAGCATTTTCACCCAGGCACCTGACCTTCTCCTGGTGGCTGGGAAGCAGGTTTTAAAAACCAGCACTGCTGAAACGTCACGTGCCTTGTGCCTGCTCCCCACCTCACCAGGTGCAGGGATGGTGCAATGCAAAACATCTCCTTGTGGGGGGGACTTTCCAGAAATCACTGAAAAACGTGGCTGTGGTCTTCTCTTCAAGCCAGTGGGACCCAGGAAAAATCTCTCCTCATCACACGGAGGACTCCTCTTGCACTCTAGGCAGCCTCACCCACCCCCTTGCTCAGCAATCTCTCAGGCCCTTTGTGTTTTACATAAGCCCTGTAGATTGATCACAGCTTTCAACTTCCTAATTATGGGAGGGACAAAGGTAGAGCCCCCCTTAGAGGATCAGAAATGCTGAAGTGGTTGGAGAAAAACAAAAAAGGCAAAGAGAAGACGTGAAACTGAACAGGGATTTTACGTGTGGTGCTCTCAGAGCTGGTGGCCCAGCTCTCACTCCTGGGTGTATTTGCTAGAAGAGGACAGCAGCACGGGGTGGACAGAGCCGTATCTCCGAGGAAGGATGCAGTAGCAGGGAACTCTTTTGTCTGACAGAGCAAGCCGTGAGCCTGAAAAGAGAAAACGTTGCCTTGAATCGCTGCCCAGAGCAATTTGCTCGGCACAGCGGGGAGGAACCTGGCTCTGACACTCCTCTCCAGTGGGACCTTGGGGCTTTCGAGATACGTTTTTCCCAAACTGCTTCTCTCTCGGCCTCTCTCTTTCCCTGGATTTGTGCCTGCCTCAGAGCTGCGGGATAACCAGAGGCCCCAGCACGTCACCCAGTCTGCACCAGTAAGGGCACACGCGGTGGCAATAAATGCACGTGATGGAGCCCCAGCAAGGAGCTGGAGGGCAGCTGTGACCTCCCGTGCTTCCATAGTCCTCGGACACCGACCAGCAGGGGCTGAGCTCACCCTGCTGCTCTTCCCCTGCTCCATGGCCCACTGAAATGCACCTCCAGGGCTGGGCTGGAGGGAGCGGAGGTGCCCGCTCGCCACTGCGAGCAGCAGTTCTGTGGTTCATGGTACCAGCACCTCCAGGCTGTTCTTCTTTCCACTTCCCACATCGCCATAGCCTCTGTGTGTGTAACTCGAGCTCTTCTCTCGACATCTCCCTGCTAAGCCTCCTGCGCTTCCCCTTTCCCCCAGGGCACAGCCCAGTGACAGGCAGGCAGCAGGATTCCCCCACTCCGCCGAGCTCTAGGAACGAGTGCCTGCCACCGTTTTCGGGCAGGTGCCAAGAAACCCACGTCACTCACAGGCACAACTCACATCTGCTTCCTAGCAGTTCCTCTGCTCACCAGCTCAGCATCGGGGGCAGTGGGAGAAGGGAGGTCCAT